CTTGCTTTTCAGAAACGCCTGATAGTCACCGGAGTTCGGTGGAACACACGGCGGTCCAATCTTGACGGATTCCGCCGCCTTACTCTTCTCCATCCTCGACGTCGCACTACTACTACTACATATTTCATTCCGATTACTCTGTTTCTGCAGAATCTGATTCGCATTTTCTCCAGATTCCTTATTCTCAGATCGATCGTCGGGGGAGGGAGAAGCCGGCGGTGGAGGTGGAGAAGTCGAGGAGTCCGATACAGAGGCTTCCTGAAGAAACCGCCGGAACGACCATTCCGATGCGCTCCGGTTCAATTTCGATGATTCTTCCGGCTCTGTAGGAACTGCTCGCGGCGGTGAGGACAAGAACTGATCGGCGATTCCGTCAACGGAGAATACTCTATCCATTGATCTCATGAATTTCCGCCTCAGGTTTTTCTGGTTAGCGATTACAGAGTTTCGAAACTCTTTAAACTTGACGACGATTCATTTCAGTTTTACGATTTTATCTCCCCTTTGCCCCTTCTTTTAAAATTAAAAAATTATTTCTTTTTCTTTTTAATAAATATTTTTTTTTTCATTTAAGTGTACAAAATACGTCTCCCTCAACAAATCAAATAAATTGCATTTATCTGGATCATATCTTGAGATCTAAGAATGACCATCATATATTCTAAATTTGATCTAAGAGTTTTCTTCGAATTTATTGGTGAAATTTTACAAGGATATTTTAAGCCATTTCCAGTAATTTTTAGTTACCAATTAATCATAAGAATATTACAAAATAAATGACATCATTTAATAATTGAAATTTAATTATCTTCTTTTTTTTTTTTAATTTTTCACTACAAAAGAGACTGAAATTTGATAATAAATCTTCAATTATATTAAAAAAAGTAATATAATATAATATTCTTAATTAAATAAATAAATCATGATGGGATAATGTTTAAATTATAAATTAAAAAAATAAAATAAAATAAAAGAATTACACGTAGGATCCACACACGAGTTTATCGTTATTGTCAAGCTGTTGCTGAGTCTTTGTTGATAGGATTGAAGGACTGTTTCCACAAGCCCTTATGTCCTCCAAAAATAATTTTAAAATCTTATTATTATTATTATTATTTTGTAATTAATAATATTATTTTAATACGACTTATCCCCCTAAACCGTTTATTTCAGTTATATGATTCTCTTTTCCATATTTTTTTTATTTAATATACTTTATTATTATTATTTTTAAAAACTATGTATGCTCCCTCATACATACTAGAATTTTGAAAATATTTTTTAAAAAAATTAAAATTAAAATTAAAATAATATTAATTAAAATATCATCGAATGACAGTGAGGACTTGATATTTTTTTCCTTTAGTACGGCGGCATCTAAGTTAGTTGTATTATTTTTTTATTAAATGATTTTTAAATTATTATTTGCCAAGTAGACTCATATTTGTGGATAAACTTGCGGAGTGGGGCCCACGTGAGTCACTGTGGGGCCCGCAGAATTCTGGTTTTTTCCTTTTATAGCAGTGAAAATTGTTTTTTTTTTTTTCTATTTATTTATTTTTTAGTATTATTTTAATTATTATTTTTACACTTTTTTTAATAATTTGAATAAAATAAAATTTGAAGGGTGATTAAAAGTTTTTAAGTATTTTTCAATTGAATATCTATTTAGAATTCCCGATTTAAATTGGAAATAGGAGAAAGGGATAGAGACATATTTTTCCTCGCTAAATAAATAGGGCTGGAGATAAGATTATATTCCTCGTCCTGCTCCCGCCCCACTTAATATAAATTAATTTCAAAAAGTAACTTTCTAAATTTCATTTCAAGTTTATTAAAAAATAAATCATATTTATTGAACTTTTTTTTTTAATGAAAATTACTATTGAAACCTGATCCGTGCCAATTCCCGATAAGGAATCTACGCACTAATCCTTGTTAAAATAAATGAGGAATGAGATAGGTGGCAGCAGGGATGAGAACGAGGAAGGCTTCCCCATCCCCATCCCCGTCCCATGGACATCTATAAGTCGACTTTTATTTTTCTTTACAAAGAGGATTAGTACACCTTCAGGTGAGACACCGAGGCACATAAAAACCTTTGTTTAGTAGACCCTACAATTACAACATAAATTATCTTACATTTCTTAACTAATCAACTTTATAACTTTTGTGCACACACTACTTTAAGGATAGTCTTAGCTCTAGACTCTGTAAACATAAAACTTGCTCGTGAGGGAGGTTTGAACACTACTTCTTTACAAAAAAAATTATCAATATTGAAAAAATTCTCTACCATTCCGTCCATGCCCATAATTACATTAAAGCCCTAATATCTAAGCCTATCAAAGTCACCTCTACCCGTTGACCTAACACCAACATATAACTAGATGTTACTCTCTCGCAAGCCAACAAACTTACCCCAATTGTTGTGGCAACACAACTTAACTCAAGGGTCCTAACTCTAACTTCATCTCTGATGTTAAGATAAATAAATGAGTAGAACCTAAGTTAAATACTACGAAAACAAGGTCCCTAAATACAGATATACCTATTATCATTGCATCAGAATTACTAGCATCTTGGTCAGTAGTAGCATTTGTTCTTTCCTGTTTGTGAGTTTGGGTGAACGATCCAACACCACTTGAAATGAAAGGATGGTTACCGCCTCTCGAGAACAGTAAATCACCATGTGACCCTCCAAGCCATACCTAACACACACTTCCATCTTTGCCAGACCCCAACCCTAATGATATCTACTATAGCATTTACATCGAGACTTGTCATAATCGTTGCTTCCCAGTAAGATTGCTAATTCCATCTCTGACTTGCGACCTCCATACAAACAAATTTGTAAAAATGAGAATCTTATACACGTTACGTGACTATCAATCTTCTTATAGTGTTAGGGTAGAGACAAACATACTTACAATGATATTTTTTTGTATATATATATATACAACCACTTGGAGATATTGTGGGATAATGGGCCACCAACTTCAACTATACAATAGGGAGATATTAATTAATTTTTTTTTTAAGTAAATTTTAATAATATAAATATCTAACAAAATTTGAAGGACGATGTTTAGTGGGGAGTGACTAGCTTTGCAAAATAAAGAGATGAATTAATTAAAAATATATATATATTATTATATAAATTTTAAATGATTTGAAGTATTGGCATCAATTACCAGTGGTCTAGTGGTAAAATAGTACCTTATTATATTACAGATCCAAGTTCGTTTCCCAACTGGTTCAATTTGTTTTTTCTTTCTATTTTGGGCTTTAACTACGGTCCCCACTTATTCTATATCTTACTTTCCGGTAATAAACGTGTTTTATTTGGAACAATTTTATGTTAAGTGATTTCTAGCTGAACTTATGATCATGTTGTAGGAGAATGTCGGGGTCATTAGATAGTGTCGAATCCAAATTATGAATCTTAAGCATGGAGCGTTCTTCTACCTTCGATTTATCTTTTTGACCTAAAATTACTCAAACGCTATTTCTACCAAATTTGATACAATCCATATCATTATATACTCGAAGAACACACAAATTAACCAGAAAAAGGAAGAGGAAAAAAAAAATAAAAAGAATTTTGAAATTATTATTATTATTATTATTGTATTTATGGATCTCTGTTCACCAATGCACACGAGCGACAAGACAGAAAAAGAATCACTGATAGCACAATAATTCATCCAAAAAAATTAATTAAAAAAGAAAAAAAGAATCGGGGTCCCACCACACGCTTCATCTCAGTCGTCCGTTGTCCATTAATCAGAATAAATCAACGGCCACAAAACCATTTCCCAAAACAAAACCAACCAAATTACAGAAACAAAAAGTTATTTTTATATTTTTCTATCCCAACAGAAGAAAAATGGAATAAAATTAAATTAAATTAAACAATAATGTGAGCAGAGTTTTCAGCTTGAGTGGGCCCATTAGTCCATGGGGGGGGGGGGGCTATGATTTGCTGCAACACATATACATCACATGTGATGAGCCTGCAGCACTCTGATGCTGCCACCTGCCACTCTGCCAAATACTACTAAAAATAATAATAATTAAACAGTGTATAAAGATTTTAAGTCCACAAAATAATAATAGTAGCTGCACGTGCGTTTGCGGGGCCCACTCTGATCAGACGACTGTGATCGATAGTCAAAGGTTTGACTTAGGCTCTAAAACTTTATGTATACGAATTCTAATGATGTCGGAAATGTTTGATGTGAGTTGGAGAAATCTTTTCATTGTAAATACAATAATCTATAGGTTTATAAAGTGTCGATGACGTTTATAATAACATTAAAATGATTAGTTTAGTTAAAAGAAATGAAGTGTTCAAATTAATATTTAATATATTAAATAATATTTTGGCTAAATTCGTGAGCTGACCTACTTGTACTCGTTGTTCTCGTGGATTGCTGATTTTGTGGTCTGGGTTGAGTAGCTTTGTGGACTTTGGGACTAGTTGTTGCATTTCACACGAGGTCGGGGATATTGGTTATTGGATTCAAATCTAATCCAACCCAACTTGATTTCCCATGAACTACTTCTTCTTTACTCGAGATGGGCATTAACCTATTTTTCTAGGCGGTCATGAGCTTTAAAGGAGTATTAGATTATTTACTTTTGGTTTTTTCCGAAATGTCTCGTATCAATGAATATATTATTTCTTAATTATATGTAAGAGTCAAAGTTCACCGCTAACAAATATTGTCCTCTCTTGACTTTTTCTTTTGGGTTTTCCCTCAAAGTTTTTAAAACGCGTCTGCTAAAGAGAGATTTTCAAACCCTTATAAAGAACGTTTCGTTTTCCACTCCAACCAATGTGGGATCTCACAATTCATCCCTTTTCGGGGCACAATGTTCTCGCTGACACTCATTCTTCTCTCCCATTGATATGAGATCTTACATTATATACCTGATCTTCTTCTTAATTAGCCATGCTGAACTCGATTAGGTAAGATTTAAAAAAAAAATTCGAGTAAACTAATATAATGTATATTATGCAAAAAAAGAATCCAAGACAACTTACAAATAGCCTCGAACCAACAACGTTATTTCAGACATGTAATACAAATCTAGGAGGTTTTGCGACAGGTCATAGTGGTTTTCGGACAACATTATCCGGCAAGTTTTCCATGCTCCTATTCCCTCCTTGATTGTACAATGTACTGAGTTGGTGAAAATAAGGGCAAGTTCTTGAGTCAATAGATCTCTTCTTGTTCACATCTTTCGTCTTTCTAAAGTACTTGTTTATATTCTCCCATTTCTCTTTGCATCTCTTGGCGCTTCTCTTGTAACCCAATTGAAGCATTCCTTGCGAGATTCTCTCCCACAACGGCGCTTTTAGCAACGTTGCTTGATCCGTGCCACCGCTCTTATCCTGATCACTGTTGTTGTTGTTGTTGCTGTTGTTGTCGTAAAGGCTACACCTCACGTTCACTAGAGCCAACACTTCATCTCTCGGCCATCGTTTTCCCACGTCATCTACCTCCTTTTCTCGAGTTTTCGGGTTTTGGGGAAGCTTTTGAATGGAAAATGGTGGCGGGTTTGAATTCGGGTCTTGAGGAGGAAGGATTTGGGTTGATGAACTAGGGTTTTTAGGGTTTTGGGTTTGGATTAAGGAGGAGGAAGAAGGAGAATTAGGGAGATTATTGTTATTATTATGATGATGGTTCAATGAATGAAGCAAATTTTGTAAATCCTTTTTGGATTTAGAGGAAGAAAAAGGGTTTGAAATTGAAATTTGATTCAAAATTTCAATGATTGTAGCTTGTCTATCACTTGCAATGGCTTGTTCTTGAGCCATCATTTGAAGCTCCTTATGAAATCTCTCCATTTGTTGCTTCTTCCAACACTCCTCTTTAGCAATCTTCTCTTCTTCTCTCTTCAACATTTCATGTAAAAGCTTTGAATGAATCTCCTCTTGTTGGATCATCATGTTCTTCACAATATCCTCACAATAACCCTTCAACACTTCAAATTCCCTTTGCCTCGTCGTCCTCGTCTTCCTCTTCTTCTTCGATTTACTACTCTGTTGTTGCTCGTCGTTGTCGTCGTTGTTGTCGTTTCCCCTTTCGTGTTTGGCTTCTTCGGGTACTACTACGACGGCCCCACCGTCCTCGGTTTCTTGATGATAGTTAAGCTCATGAGTAGTGAGGAACATGCAAGTTTTGTTGTAGTTAATGTGGTTGAAATACCTACTCTCATCTTCAAATTTCTCCTTGCATTTCTCTGGTGTTCTTGTGAAGCCCACCTCTCCTAATTTTCTGTACCTAACATGATTCAATTATGAACAAAAAGCAACCAACATATATGCTTGCATTTATTTCTACTATCATAATAATATCATAATAATATAATTGAAAGTTCTTGGGGTTAAATTTAATTTGATGACCTTGAAACATGTTCCCAAGTGGATTCAGGGAAGCAATTGTCAATGTTGGATCTGATTCTGAGGAGGGCAAGAAGCTCATCATTGCTCCATTGATTATGATGATGATGATCCTCCTCCAAATCCATGGCCACCGACAAATTCGCCATTGTCGTTGTCGTCGTCGTCGTCTCGTTATCGTTCTCGGAAGATTGATGAACAAGATGGTGATTAGAAGATGGATTGTAAGAATCAAATGGGTGGAAGTTGAAATTTGGAGAATGAAGAAGAAACGGAAGAGAATTAGAATTCGGTGGCGTTGTTGTTGTTGTAGTCGTTGTTGTTCTTGGAGCTAAGAATTGATGAAGCTGCTCGGACACTGATCCTTCGAACATTGTTCTTCGTTCTTTGTTCTTCTCTCTCTCCTCTGGTGTAAAATTGGGAAAATGCTTGAAATAATACAACAAAACACGCAGCCCTATACAAAACCCATCTCTCAATTTCTCTATTATAACTTGTTTTTTTGCTTCTTCTCTCTCTAGATCTCAATCTTCTTTATGAAAGATTTCGTCTTGTTGTGGAAGACAAAAGGATAGAGCCCACCACACACTTCTCTAAGAAATTGAAACTCACCTTCCAAACAACACACATAGTGCTATGAGAGAGGTATTCATAGCATGGAACGAACTCGTTTAGGTATCGTCTCGATCAAGAGATTAAAAGTTTAAATTTTTAACTATAAACCGTCTCGATCAAGAGATTAAAAGTTTAAATTTTTAACTATAAACAAAGGTCAGAAATTCGATTTCTAGGTGGCTTTCTTTAGTCTTGAACTCTTGAGAAAAATGGTTGAGATTTTTGGATAGCTTTTTTTAGTATGTACCACTGATGTCGAGGTCATGTCATTGGATTAGGATTCGGATTGGGATTCAACCCTTAATTACTTAGATATTCTCTTATGTGAGATCTCTCGTCGGTTGGAGAGGAGAACAAAACATTTCTTATAAGGGTGTGTAAACTTCTCTCGAATAGACGCATTTTAAAACCATGAGACTGATAGCTATATATAATGGGCTAAAGCTGACAATATTTGCTAGCGGTGGGCTTCAACTATTATAAATGATATCAGAGCCAGACATTGGGGGGTATGCCAGCGAGGACGTTGGACACCCAAGGACGGTGAATTGTGAGATCCTACATAGGTTGGAGAGAGGAACAAAGCATTTCTTATAAAAGCATGTTTTAAAACCGTGAGGCTGACAATCATACATAATGGGTCAAAGCGAACAATATCTATTAACGGTAGGCTTGGGCTATTACAAATGATATCAAAGCCATGCACCGAGCAATGTATCAGTAAGGACGCTGACCCCCAAAGGAGGTGGATTGTGAGATCCCACATCGTTTGGAGAGAGAAACGAAACATTTCTTACTAGAGTGTAGAGTTTTAAAACCGTGAGGCTGACAACAATAAGTAACAAGCCTACAAATTTTAGTACAAAAAAGATCCTTGTTCAACGGTTAATACATACAAATATTGTATATGAATTTGGTCCTACCAATTTTGATCCCTTTATTACCATCACACCTTACTTTTTATCATTGCACCATAAATTTTTCCTAGGTAACATCTTTAAAAAAAAAAATTAAAAATTTTGAATCTCTTCACATTTAATGCATATTTCTTTTAATTGTACCCTTTATGTGGCCCATTTACTTGAAATTATTATGTACTTACATTTATATATTTATATATATATATATATTGCAAATATATATTTTTACGTTCGAGTGGAAACCAACCATTGGTTTAGATTCTCTGGTGACTCTAAGTTGAGTTAGTGAGTTCGATCATTTTGTGTGGTTTAGAGAGACTAGACCTTTTCATCGATGATATATTTGAATCACTGTATAAACTAGGAATGTCATTGTATCGGGAGTGTTTATAATTGAGTCATCTCAGCATTTCTTTACCATCATATCTTCAGGTCACACTCTCGATATAAATTGATCGTATTTTTAAACTTTTCACTCTTATAAAAAAAAATGTTTTGTTTTTTTCTCCGAGATCTGGAATTTTACAAGAACTATCAATGTTTTGGTTAATAATATAATATCTTAACTAATTGAACTATCATCTAATCAATATTACCCAATAATCGAAAAGACGGGATCATAGAGTGGAAAGCAAGTGAAGTACACGCGCAACCAAGTGCAAGTGGGGAAGGGAAGAAAATGGATATTGTTTTTATTTTATTTTATTTTTGTAAAAAATATTTATAGCATCGGAGAGGGGGGTGGGCCCATGTAAGCCAATGCGAAGGGCAGAAGAGAGGGCATGACGTTGTAATTAACGGCAACTGGATGACACAGACACGTGAACACATGCAGAGATTGGGGCCATTTATTTATGTCTCAAAACAAACCTGGCTATATTCACATGCTCCACAGCCTATTTTAACTTCGATACACCCTCCAATCCTAGCCCTCCATTTCTCTCCTTTTTCAACGGCACTCAAAATTTTCTTTTATTTTTTATTTTTATAGTTTGAATAATATTTGTGTATTTTAGATTAGATAATTGAAATAAGCAAATTTTCGCCTCTATTAGACTATTATAAATATTTATTACTGGATAGCTGTCGTATATAGATGTGTATGCATGTGACTATTCGGTAAATATACGTTATATATCATTGAAACATGCTTTGGAATAGTGATGTGACCTATCGTTTACAAGAATTGATTGACGTGGTAAAAAATAATTTTCTGGTAATAACATATTGAGGGCTATAGTAATTAGCCATTAAAGTCACGGGTAGGGGTGATTAAGGTCACCGTATGAGGTGGGCTCATATTTTGTTTCCTTGTTTTGGAAGGATATCGAAGTTTTCTTTTCCATGATTTTTTGGAACTAATCATAGATGTACGACTTGGACAGTCGGGTCTTTATGTATCTATTAGGGTCAAGCTGAGCGATTCTAATCCAAGAGAGGTCACGAATAAGTGACCCATTTTCAAGAAAATGGGTCACTGTGTATATGATATAGCCCTAAATCCAAGGAGTTTCTACACTCCTTACAAATATTTTTAGTTAAAGATATGGGTGTGATGTGGGCGTGACAGAAAGTATTGATGTTTAGTTTTGGTTCATTTTTTTTGTGAAATCTCACATCGGTCAGAGAGAAGAACGAAACATTAGACACGTTTTAATCATGAGACTGACAATATAGTGATAGGCTTAGACCGTTACATTTCTATAAGTCAATTGATACAAAAATTGAAATACTTTTGCAATTTCTCTCTCATATATCCCGACTACATTTGAAATCACACATCACCGAAAAATCATCTGTTCTATATAAATTATTTTTTTTATATATATATATATATATATGTAGCAAACAGTAATTAAATGAGATGCTTGATGGTTAAAAAATAAATGATTATCAAACGTTGAAAATTAGAACACGAACACTCAAGTATATTTAAAAAGATAAATAGGATACCGACGAACTAGAAAAGACAGAGAAAGAGGCGAGGAGAAGAGAGAGAAGAAGATGATTAAAGAGGCTCAACAACCAGCAATGAGTTGTAAGAACATGAAAGAGACGTGTCATAAAAAAAAAATTAAATATGTATATCCATCCAAAGCTAGCACGCCCTTCTCCGACCCCTCACTAAGCACACATACGATCTTTAAATTTGATACTCCCAAAATTTTCGGTACATATTCATTTTATTATACATTTGATACGTCATTTGATGATATGTTAATAATAATAATATTACTATTATTATACATTTGATGACAATATACTTTTTTTTTTTTCGAAGCAAGACCCGTTACTAATTAAATTCGATATTTGTTTCTATTTACTTTATATTGAGCTCGAAAATTTTGATGTTAGATATGAAAAGATTGTAAAGTCGGTATTGTTTCTCTTTAACAAAAGTGAACAATGACGTACAAATTGACACAATATTGAGACTATGACCACGTGAACGTTAAAACGAATTTATAACAAAAACGTATTGGCCCCAAAAATATATAAATTTGAATTTAATATTGTTTTAAGGACTAAAATTACAATTTGGAACAGATTTAAAATTTTCAATATATATAAATAAACAATTAAAAGTTGGAAAATGTACAAATGTTTGTACGGATTAGACCCTCACACGAGACTACAACTCAAAAGGCATCTTTTGGGCCCCACTTACAAATTTTGTTTTTTTTAATAAAAAAAATAGTTCAAATTACATCCCTAATTTTTATAGTAAAAAAAAAATTTGAAATTTTAATCTTTTGATTTTAAAATTATAATTTTATCTTTATTGTTCGATGAAACCTCATAAATAGTCCCTTCGATAGATAACATTCAACCCGACAACTTGGACTAACCCACTTGAACTACAAGGGTTGGGTTGAGTTGGATTAGCCTTTTGAGTTGAGTTGGGTTGGGTTCATTTTTTTGAACCCAAACTGACTCGGTTCAGTTTCGAGTTCATAGTATAAAATTCTCGAGTTGACCTGAGTCAAATAAAAATATATAAAATATATTAAAAAATAATTATAATAGTAGGTTTGGTAGGTGGTACTTCATCTTAATTTAATTTAAACTCAAATGATGGTGATGAGTTATTTTATTTTTTATCTTAAATTTAATAATCAAGAAGAATTATAGATAATCTTATAAATTTTATACAATTATTATAAAATAAATATGAAATGGATAAATTGGAGCTTTGAAATCCAAATGGATAATTGGGCCAACTGTGGGCTCATCCATTGAATTTCGGAAGCCCAACAAGACGAGTCCATATCCATTTGGGCCAAGTGTGGGCTCATCCATTGAATTTTGGAAGCCCAACAAGACGAGTCCATATCCATTTGGGCCAACTGTGGGCTCATCCATTGAAGTACATTTTAGATCATTGAAGTTTCATCAAACTATTAGCTTTCGTTTTGGTTATGAGGTTCTATCGGGTAAGTCTTCATGGCTGACAAAATAGGAATTTAGGTCGTAAAAGAAAGGCACCGACCTCTATTGGGATTTGGCTTTCCTAATCTATAAGCACACTACGATGAACGCGGGTCATCTTAGATCATTGAAGTTTTATCAAACTTAATGCTCTCGTTTCTTGATGAGGTCTTACCGAGATAGGTAAGCTCAAGACTTTCCCCTTTTCTTGACCGAGCAGTAGTCCTCCACGACTGACAAAGCACCTACTTCTGTAGTGGTTGTTTTATTGGTTGTTTCCTTTACAAAAATGGGTTCCACGTTAAACCCTATAAACCCTTTCAACATTTTGTAGAAACCGCAACTCTCAAACCTTTCTTCTCTGATTCTCTCTACAGCCTTTGATTTGAACCCCTTTTCTCCTCCTCCAATGGAAGATTCCCCCCAATCAGCCGGTTATCGGAAGACCCGTTTCTACCACCCCTACCAAGACCTTCACGTCCCGATCACCAAGCTTTACGAGCTCCCCACCGCCCCAGAACATCTTTTCTTCGAAGAGGCGGCTAGGCCCCACCGTTCTTGGGGCGAAAATCTCCAGTACTACACCGGAATCGGCTACTTGTCCGGTGCCCTTTTTGGCGGCGCCAGGGGATCTCTCCAGGGAATTAGGGCGGCGGAGCCTGGCGACACCATGAAGCTTCGTCTTAATCGAGTTTTGAACTCTGGGGGTCAGGTCGGCCGCAGGGCTGGGAACTCTCTTGGGATTCTTGGCTTGATTTTTGCTGGTTTGGAAAGTGGGGTTACTCATTTGAGAGGCTCTGATGATGTTTTGAATAGTATTGTTGCTGGATTGGGGACTGGTGCAATTTATAAGGCGGCTTCAGGGCCGAGGTCGGCCGCCATCGCTGGTGCTATTGGAGGGATTGCTGCTGCAGCTGCGGTGGCGGGCAAGCAGGCAGCGAAGAGATATGTGCCAATATAGGCATAAACAAATCTGTGGGGGGATTTCTTTGGAGGACGGTAAAGCATTTGGTGGGTTCCTTTGATTGGTGAACAATATAGACTATTAGGTTACTAATGCTCGATCTTCTTATATTGTAATTTGTGTTGAATTGTGTTCTTCCTGTTTGTAATTGATTCCGAACCCTAATAGAGTCATTGGTTTTCATTGTTTCCTAATAAAAATGTTATGAGGAAGGAGGAGGATGTTGTAGCTGCAGAATTGGAGAAAGGGGTGTGCTTAAGGGTTTGGTGCCATTTTTGGATAGTTCATCTCAAACAATCAATAAAGCTGGTGATTTTTTCTTTACCTTTGGTCATTTTTGGACAGGCATTAAGGCATTTTCTTTACCTTTCTCAAATGTTGTGCTCACTTGACTGCATATGCCCAATTGTTGTCAAAAGCATATTGTTAATTTTCCATAGGCTTAGTTTAGACTGCATCTGGGTATGAACGGAGCCGGATATTAGGGGTCTACACTACTATTTCTTTTAGCAGCCTCCAACTTACGATGGAATTGTGTGTTCAGTACCACTTCACAATCAAAATCGCACTTTGATGGCAACGGATTTGGTCCCAATTCAAAAATAAAATTTTAGAAAACAGGGTAGAAGAGATTTTGAGAAAGTAAAATTTAAGAAATTGAAATTTGTGTTATACAAGGGTAAGCAAAATGTTGTGTTAATGCCTTAATTTCAACAAGTGCAATCATGGGCTATGACCGTCTTGTTTAACTTAAGTCTTGAAACATTTTTGTGGTGTAATTTAAATGGTTTAATTTGAAAAATGTTGTTCGTTCATGTCACCAAATCCCATATTGTCCACAATGACACTCACGACACTCTATTGATACGGAGTGTTTTAGGAAACCAAAAGTTGCGAGAGTCTATGCTAGAGTGTACCCTATCAAATTTTGACAAATTTAGAAAATCTTAGCCAGAATAGATTTACCAAACCCCTGGAAAAATAGAAATGCAAATTTGGCATTTACATCTGCAAAAGACGTGTAGGGGCTCTAAACCAATAATGCAAATATAATGTTGCGCCAAGTATGACATGAAATAAGCATAAAGGGACCTTTCATTCACTTAAAAATTGCCTGAATACAACGCCCATGGGGGAAAACATCAGTATCATCATTCGTTGCATGCTCTTTTTAATTTAATTCAATTCAAGTCCTTGGACATTCCATAACGTTTCCGAGTGAATGTCGAAACAAAAGTCGTATCTACCTCCCTCAAATGGAACAAGTCGAAACCGATGTGCAGATCAAGAACTTCTGATTTCTTTCTACAGAGTGCACTTGGCATCAGGTTGGCTCTCTGCAAACAGCTAAACGGGCAAGTTCATAGGAGATCACTTTAAAATGCAACTCTTAAGCATTATTGAATTATAATAGCAAATGTTAAAATTGGTAAGGAAATAGCCATCAGATATAGGCAATAATAAAGCCAACGTATTTGAATGCAAGTACAGTTGAGTCATGTGGGCATAAGACTTAAGATGCAAGTATCTACATGTACAACGTTTTTGGTCAGATCACATCATAAGGCAAGAGCGAGTTTGAAAGTTGTACATCAAAATTTTGAACTGAGAAAGAGGCTGATTGACATCACTTCACAAACGAACAGAAGTGAGGAGCGAGTTTGAAAGTTGTACATCAAAATTTTGAACTGAGAAAGAGGCTGATTGACATCACTTCACAAACGAACAGAAGTGAGCAGATTAATTGATGCTTTGTAATTTCTGAACGAGTAGAACTCATCATTTAACTCGTAGGCGAGTTAATTTTACCCCTTTAATTTCTTTGATTCGGCCACTACACGATTTTTTAAGGTCGGCAAACAACTAACTTTAGGCTAGCTTAGAATCAAAGAGAACTGCAGGTATTGTTTCTTTAAATCATGTTCTTGAGATAAAGCCTTAAAACATTAAAAACGGCGAACTCATAATAGAAAAGTCCCATAACCTACATTCATTCATTTTGGATCCTAATGTTCATATTTCTGTTTTCCATCCATAGAACACCTTGGGGTGTACACGACCTCTACTATTTATCAGTGTTATATTACTCGGAAGTCCAAAATCTGAACACAACGAAATATAGTATGAATATCATTTACTAACTTTAGGCTTTCTGAGAATCAAGGACCTTTCGTTCTAATGGATTTTCTTTAAATTGTGTTTGTTCTTGGAATTATGCCGAGTGTTTGTTATTAGTAGGATTTGGACATTGTATTCAATCTTAAGTTCGAGCATTTTTCATCTACCTTTATTGGTTAGGTTTGGACATTTCTTTGACATGATTTTGGTGCTTGTTAGTGAACTTCGGGTGCTTTGTTGGTTCATTCTGTTCACATGCACTTTTTTACTTGAAAGGTATTGGGTTTAAATTGATGAAATTGAATAAAATTGACTCACCTATTTTTCGACGACCTTCAAACAATCAAACACGCGACATTTGTAACGTACAAAAGTATGATTCTGTTTTCTTCATATTTTCCAACTCAGTTAGAAGTTTTACCTTTTGGTTCCTATTGAACTTCTCTGGATTCCCATCAGTCTCCATGTATGGCGAAGTGATCACTCGTTTAAAGCTTTGTGGAAAGCAACCTGAGATAACAAATGAACTATAAATCCATGAACAACCCCACACGAGAATAACTAGATTGCATAAATTCTACGGTAAAGATTTGCAGAAGAAAAACCTATACTTCAATCCAAAGTTAGATCAGAACAAAATTATAATTAGCTGATGATGAAAAGTGGACAGAAGAGATGATCTCACAGAAGTTGATGTTTTCAGCAATTCTCTAATTGCCATCGTAGCATAAGATGACGTAGGTAGATTAAAGCTCAACTTAAGAGCCATCTGTGGATCCTGAGCGGCTTCCCCATTTTCATTTTCATTTGCTTGAAGTTTATTACTCTTTTTACAGGACCCTGACTGTTCTGTGGAGTCCAATGAATCTTCATCTTTAGATTTATCATGCATTTTTTCTTCCTTGGTAATTTCAACACTTAGAGACTTCAAAAGGTTATCTAAATCACTCTCTGCCAGGGGTAAATTACGATCAACATATGAGATCAATTCCCTGCCAAACAACAGAATTTAATCTTCTAAAGAATAGATAAGTGCTAGAAATTAATAATTTAAACAACATTAAGAATGTGTACCACTCATAGTCCTTTGGTCTTTGAAAAACACTACGGTAGCTTCCAGTCATATTGGTAATTGAAAATTCCCTATGAACATATATCATAAAACACAATATAAAGTGTATACAAGTAGAACTTTCAATAGAATAAAAATAGGAAGGAGAGAAGATGGCTTGATCTCATTAGAGTTTGTAACATACTTTACGTTATGAATAGTCTCCGTCAAGTTAATTGAATCCTAAACAATAAAAATCAAGATTAGTAAAAAGAAGGGGTTGAATAACAAGTAAAACGCTACTAGAAGGGAAAAAAGATAGAAAACGAGGTCCATACTCCACTATCTCTGTTTAAAATTGGATAGTTGGTGAAGGGGACTTATCTTGGCCAAGTTTTATTTAGGACAGGAAGTCAGGGAACTATGTTTTGTCTTGTCTGTTGTAATTGGAGGGATCAAACCTCTCGGAAGTATCAAAGAGTACTTGTATCTTAAATTCTAAGCATTTTCAACTCAATAAAGGAAGATTTCTTCTAGTTGTTTATCAATTTCTTTTCTTTCAAGTATCTGTGGTAAAGTAATTAATCCTAGTTGATGATGGGAACTTGGGACTATTGCCCAAACAGAAATCACTCTCGTAATCAACCCCACGAGAAGTGCATATGCTAAAAAAACGATATTCTGATCGAAAGTAAGATACTAAATAGAAGTCAAGATTAACAAAGGACCTTAGCAGCTAAATCATGATAAACTTCAGCAATATCATTTGTGGGATAGATTACTCTTGACCTGTTGAAATAAACAAATCAACAAAACACATAACCAAGTCATACAACAATCGTAAGACCAGAATAGATTTTAAACAGGCCATAAATATTTTCTACCCTCACCCAGGCAGGGGAAGTACAACATCATCAATAGTGAAGTTTCCACTTTGGACATCTTCTGCAGAAACAGCCTGTCAGATGTCAAGACTAATATTAATTTCAATCACGAATGTGGAAATAAAAAAAGTCAGTTCTAGCAATTTAAGTTGGCCAGAACGCATTGAACCTAATTCCAGAGAAACATACAATGGACATCAACTTACTGTTCTCTGCATTGAGAGAAATTTAATATGGAAACTGGGAAAGGCTTATAGATCCTAGTTCCAGAGAAATGTAAGTAATTTTATAAATTGCTTCAACTGCCAACATCATCCATGCACAAGTACAAAATCTTTGGAATGGAAGCATAGAATCAAACCATATATTATTAGCCTTGATACAAATCACAGTGAATAATTAGAACATGCCTATATATGCTAAGAAGCATAACGCTAGAGGCAGTTAAGAATAATGGAGAAATAACTCAACTTTAAGACAAATATAATCTATTTGGAATTTAAGCGGAGAATTATGCTATCCTCTTCAATTGAATTAACTTCCAAAAAAAAAAAACATCAATATGTTCACACTTCAATAAAATATCTCTGAACAAACTGAACCTAAGGATATAGGCAATGTTTTAACTTCCTAAAGGCTACCTCATCAATCTCTAGAGAATGAGAGTAGGATAAGCCCCATTTTAAATAGAAAAGTATTGACAAAAGAAAAATGTAAAACTATGTATTATTAAACATTATGATTTGACCATGATTATACAAAAAACAAAAGGGGCTAATGGAAGAGAGTAAAGCAAAGTTGACGTTCTTTTAGTGAAAAAGCAAAGTTGACGTTCTTTTAGTGACATGAAAACAGATGTAAAGCACGCAGGCATTCTCACGGAAGTGTAAGCCACTTCTATAAGTGGCAAACCTTACATCCGAGAAGTTGTGTACACCTCAAGATGAACCTAGAGCGTCTCGAAAACCTTTAAAACAACTAACATGTGCAATATTGAAAATTCAATTTTTATTTTTAGGATGCACATCTTTTTTACTCAGCCTAGAGCATCAATATAAAATAACGAAAACTCAAATACCAGCTCCAGCAGTAATAAGTAACAGTGAAAGGGCTCTAGGAGCATTTCCGAGTATTGTTACTGGGAACCAACCTTCACGTGCTTATTTCTTTCTGTTGGAAGATCTAGAGTGCATATTTCCTCTAAATGACAAGAATCATATGTATTAGCATCACCACAGTCCTCGTCAACATTTTCTTCAGATTTTTGAACTGCAGCTG